CAGACTGTTGCGGTAGTTGTTGGCGAGGTATTTTAATAGGCCTCTGTCTCTATAAAGCTGCCTTTGATCATGCACTCAGGCTGCACGTGGATGTTGACTATGCCGGAAACAGACACCTGGTCACACTCTAAAGCCTGTCTGTCTGTCTGCCTCTGTGTTGCTGCGCAGCCGTTGCTGCAGTTTGTAAGTATTAGGAGAGTTTTGTCTTGGCTCTGCATACCTCAGTGTTGCAATTTAATTGAGAAAAAATGACTGGGATTAAAGTGCTGATTTTCAGATTTACTTTGAACGTGTTTACATTCACATTTTATAAGCTGTGTAGAAATCATAGTCTTTTTAACGTAAAAGGTACTATGAATCCTACACTGTTCACCCAAGATGTACAGGTTGTAATTAATTAGAAGCGTTTACCGTGACAACGACGAGGTTTTTGTCTGCCAAACCCCATTCTTGTGCTGCATTTTGCAGGAGGTCTGCAATGTTTGCTCCGGTGTGACTTTCATGTACTGCCTTAGTTTGGTAAACGTGAGACAGCAGTTGCAAGTCCTCTGTTAGATAATGTGCCGTTATAGTCACATATGAATCCACTGATCTTGAAGTCCAGGCGTCACAAGTTTCCTCAAAGACTCCTCAACTTTATGCTTCACTTCTATGTAGAGCTTTGGAACAGCTGTGTCAGTGAAATAATGTTGCGATGGAGTCACGTACCTGGGTTCTAGTGTTTTTAGCATGTAACAAAAGCCTTTGTTTTAAAGAGCACTGTATGGACACAGATCTCTGCACATGAAGTAGGTGATGACTGTGTTATTTTCTTCGCTCTCTCAGAGTTTGATGGTAGTTTTAGTTTCAAGCTAAGTGTGTCCAGTGTTGGTTGATTTTCAACGGAGTAGGTTTAGTGTTAGCTTGACAGCGTTAGCTTGACGCTATCTATGGATAGTGGTGTTGGAGGTGAGAATGCGTGTTTGTAATATTCCCAGAGTATTTTATTCTCATATGACACTGCTTGCAAATTGCATGTGTCATAAGTCCTCCTTTGCTTTCATGTTAAAAAAAAAAACAAAATAAGTCCAGATGTTTGATTCAAATGCTGACAGTGCATTTCTGATTTCTTCCATCTTTGTTTTGATGAACTTCCTACCAAATGCAGCTGACCTCACCAGAAAAAAACACATCAGTACCATCTAGTGGACTGTAAAAGCAATTGCTTTTATTATTGTAGTATCTCAAGTTGTATCTAAATGTGTATTTGCAAAAATTAAGAATGTATATAATAAAAGATCGATACTTAGAATCTGTGTATCGATACAATATCGCTGTGCAAAATATTGCGATACTAAACTAGCATTGCACATGAACACACCGCAAAGACTACAGCTGACGGCTAACCACCACATACGCTCTGTGCCTGCGTGAGAGGAAGTAACTCTCCACACCATCAGACAGTGGTAATCTGTAATTGTAATTAACGCAGGAAAACTGGAAGAACATCTTGACACTAGCTAGCCAGTTAGCACAATAACAACAGAATGCAATGTTGAAAGAACAGAGCAAATTTACCTGGCGCCAGTGAAGAATAACACAAACCATCACAAATGTTTCTGCTAAAGAGCTCAGTGCTAAAAGAAAAATAATCTTACCAGATGCTCACCGATGGCTGACCATCAGCTTGGTGTGTCAGGGCCTTTAGAGATGTTACCTTGGAAATGTCAAGCTAGCTGTTTAGTCTTTATGCTAAGCTAGGTTAGTAGTCTCCATGTGACTTAACGTACAGACATCAGAGTCATATGAATCTTGTGTAACTGAAAGAAAGTAAAAACCAAAAGAAAAAGATGTTGATTGTAAATAGAAGATGCATCAATCTCAAATGTTGGAGATTGATGCATCACGCCCAACCATTCACCCAGACTTACTCCCGTAAATGCCAGAACACACGATAGTGTCGATATGAATCACTGTCCTACTTCCCAGCGAGGCTCCTCCTTTCAACGGGGGGAGTTTTCTTGAGCATGACACTGAATCATATTGCTCCCAATTTAAGTAAACGACAAAATAAAAATAATGCACTGTAGACAAAAGCTTGCAAATTAATGTAATGTAAAGAGAGCCAACATTATTTGCTCAACCACAACAGGTTAGGCAAATAATAATGTAAATACAGGTTGCATTATAATAAAGTCGTTTGTTAACGACTGACAGTCTTGACATGGATGTCAACATGACCAGATACCCTAAATAGGACCATACATGCCAGTGGTGTACAGGTTTTAGATCCTTACCTGAAAATCATATTTGCATTAAATTTTTGCTCATTTTCAAATGCATAATGTACACCTTGATTTTTGATATTTTTTTCTTACCATCCCTGGCAGCCAGTGGTTCCCCTTCATTTCTGTAGGATATGAAAATTAAGTATTTGCATAAAACTTGCTTGAACTGTTCTATTAAACAATCAAGTCAGTGTTAGTCCCTGTGCACACCTGGCAATAACATGTGTCTTGGGAGATGCAATCACAAGTGGACAATGCATTTCCCATGACTTGTCTGCTGGAAATTAAAAGAAGAAGAAGAAATCATATCAATACAGACTGGGGCTATTTCTTGGTGTGTTCCAGTCAAACCAAATCGCCCGCGATGTTTTTTTCAGCCCATATGGAAATAAGACAGTATGTTTTGTGTGTACTCCATCAATGAGATTCCACTGTTTTTGTTTCTTGTCACACTTTGATGCCATTGGCATGCAAATGAGTACATACGCTGCTAAAGGATGTGGCCGTATGTGGCCCAGACCCCTTTCGAATGTAGTCTGAGCGGTAAGATCTCAATGGGTCCTCTATGGCCCTGTTTATACCTGGTATTAACATGCATTTTGAGTGATGTTATGTGAACAATGGTAAATGCTTTGATCACTCAAACCACTTGCCGATTTGGTCTGGGACACATTTGACATCTTATCTTATGTGGTTTAAATGCTAATGCCTGGTAATGTGTACCCTGACAAGGACTACATCATCAGTGCAGGATGTGGTAGATGTTTTGGTGACAGTGTGCCAATGCTCTATAACTTGACCATTTTATTTTTGTATTTGTTGCATGACCGTCCATCATTTTGCCCTATGGAAGGAGATTAAAATCTGCCAACAGTGATATCTCCAGCTGTACCAACACAACCACTTATGTGACTAACAAGCATGCTAGTGAAAATGTGGAAGTAATGACTGTGCCCTGGGCCCTTTGACCTTCTAGCATGAGTGACATAGGGAGTTACAAAATCTGAACACAAGCTGTCAACTGGAGACGCATGATAGAAACAGGATTACTGAAATGCATGTTAATACAATGTGTAAACAGGCTCAGTGTGTCCTTGCATTCACACCTTTTCTTACAGCTGTTCACCTGTGATCAGATCACCCAAGACACATGTCAATGCCAGATGTGAACAGGGCCTTAGATTGTCATTGAAAGGTCTGCACTGAATAACAATAAGGTAACAGAAAAAATTAATGTGAACTTGATGTTCAGTTTTATGGACTGTAGAAATCTGGCACGTTTAAAGAGTCTGCTTATTCATTTTCATATTGTACATGAATAATGGCAACCAATGGCTGAAAAAGTACTTACAAATTTCCAAAGTCATTCGCTGGTTTGTAGTAAATGGGCTAAAGTAATGCCAAACCTCTAGTTTGGTTCTATCATGTTCAAATTTAAACCTCTGAGCCATTATTTCAATGGAGAGAGCCAAATATAGTATAGGCTGTATATGTATTCATGGACTGCATGACCTCCACTTTCAGACTGCACCGCTAGAGAGACAGACAGGCGTGTCTCGGCCCTGGCTAGTCACCTCGCCGCTCTGTCACTACTCGGGGGGAGGTGATGGGTAGGAGGAGTATTCTGAGCCAGAGTTTAGCCTGGCCTGACTGATTATGTCGTTTCATGTGTACCCCAAATGGAGCTCATAAAGTTGCCACTCTACAAAGGCCGGCCCCCTGTGGGACATCTGATAGTACTCTGTGTGTGTGTGTGTGTGTGTGTGTGTGTGTGTGTGTGTGTGTGTGTGTAAACAGGTGGGGGATATGTGTACCTACAGTAGATACAACTCTTGTTTGTGCGCCTACATGTTTGCTGTTGTGTGTTTACGTGCGCACATGCATGTGCGCTTGTGCACGCGCAGGCCATAATCAGCTCCAGATGATTTTGAGTGTCTGCCAGTTTCCCAGAATAGCAGCGCTGGTTTCCTTGCAGCCCTCCAACTGGCCTTGGCAAATATTTTAGCAACTCCATGTTTACCTTCACACTCCTTCACTCTCACTCACTCAGTGCGTCCCTCATTCCCTGCCCCTGTCCATCGAAAATAATCTGCTTTTTCATCCTTCACCCCCACTGGTCAGGAGCGCATAAGCCTGATAAATAAACAGCTCATAGATGGGACAAACTCTACACCATGCTGGCTGCACGTGGATGCCTGAGCGAGGCTCTCCCACTCTGATCGTAACACATTTATTATCATCTTTCGCGAGGCGAGCAGCTGCATCATCTGCAGTGTTTATCTCTGATCATTTCTGCACATAAGAACTGGGAGGCAGCTCCAGACAGCAGGGCATTCCTCTCCATGATCGATGAGATGTTCTGCTGAGGCATGACTTGGCCTCCTGACAAGCATCCAAAATCTAAAAGCCAACAGAGAGAGATAGAGTCTTATTATAATATACACATACATCTTGAAGATGGTGTTGATAAAGCTGTGTCAGGGTAATTCCTCACCTTGGAAACCCTAATCTGTTTTCACAATGTGTCTCAAAGTGATAAGTCCTCTGCTGCCTTCCATTCTTCTCTTCCTGCAGTCTGTAAACTAAAGATGGAAGTCAGAGCTAGTTGTCCATGTCCTGCTGGTGCCACCTGTCTGTGTTCCTGTGGAAGGCTGCACATGTTAATCTTTGCATAGTGTTTAGTGAAAGATAACAAGCATCACACTAATTCTTTTTCCCAACCTCTTTTTGCAGTGCCGTCCATCCAAAGGCAGGAGGCGGGGGTACTGCTGGTGCGTGGACAAATACGGGCAACCTCTGCCCGGCTACGACGGCAGGGAGCGGGGCGAGACACAGTGCTACAACCTGGAGAGCAAATGAGAAAATGGAGAAACAACGAGTGGATGGAGAGAGGAAGACGGAATAAGAGGGGGGGCGGGGGGAGAAGACAGAGAGAGAAAGCCTACTTTGCTCTTGCATGTAGTTTTATGTAAACATTTGAACGGGCTCTGGACCTTTGATTTCAGGTCCCATTTCTGTCAGAGAGTTAGGATGAGAACAAGGGGGAGGGGAGGGGAAAGGGGTGGAGCACAGCCTCAGCGACCGGCCAAGCCTCCTGTCCATCACAGCTATCTGTCCTGTGCTTAGGGAACCTTTATCCTTTCTTAAAAAAAAAAACAATTAAGCTGAAAGCTGAGAGAATGGGACGAAAGAGAGAATCCTACCATCTGCACTATTCTTTTAGAGAGAGAGGAAGGAGGGACTTTTCCACTCACTTTAAAGAGGACTCATTTGTGACTGTGACCCGAAAAACCGCACCACCACCGTTTCTATTGTGTGTGTCTGTCTGTGAGTGTGTAGCTGCGAGTCTGTGTGTGTATCTTAATGTGTGAGCACCTGCATAACATACGTGTGCACACCTGCATGTCTGTGCAGGACTCCGTGCGAGTGAGCGCTTTCCGAAAAGTGTTTATTTGTGTAAATACTGTATGTCACGAAGCTCAGTTTAGCGATGTCAGACTGCCCGTCCCCAGCCCCTGCTCAATTAAAAATGCAGAAAAGAAAAAAAAAACACTCTCTGGCTCAGGGTCCATTTTGAAGTGAAGGATTATGGGATGGCAGGTCTTTGACTTTTATCCAGCACCAAGGGCCCCTTCTTGCTGCCTCTGGGTTGCTCCTCGCTCCTGCTATTGGGAAGGAAATGGAGGCAAACCATGCAGTCTCAGTGCCTTAAAACAGTACTTTCCATGCCTCCCCTCCCCTTCACCCCCTGTAGTCCTCAATTAAAGGAGTACTTCACTGAAAATCGACCTTTTGAGTATGAGATACTCATCTCCCGCGGCTTTGAAATATGGCTCTGAAAAATGTGCTTACACCTTTGTGGTGAACAGCAGCTGTATTTAACTTGGATTAACAACAGCTACAGAAGATCTGAAGGGTGATATTGCAAAAACAGCATGAAATCATCTAAAGAAACTTCTGAAACCACTCCTCCAGCATATAATCCACTCCCTGCAGACATTCTGAGCCAAGAGGTAGGGAGACTGTGAAATGGAAATTGTGTATTTAGCTATATTCTGGAGAAACTATATGTGTTTTGAACAGATCAACATTGGAGATTAAGATGCAAAATGTGCCAAAATATTAGTTGGGCTTCTGTTCATAGCATCTGTTACCACATCTTCCATGTCAACCAAATGACAGACGTTACTCATTTGTTTGTGCAAACCTATTAGAAAAACAATCACTTGAACATACGTCAGCTTCATAAAAACGACCTAAAATGACAGAAACCATTATAATTTTTATTTGACCACTACTTGGATTTTTGTTTTTTGGCCTGTGTATTTAGCCATATTTTGAAAACAATATGAATGTATGGACCACACCAGTACAGACAGACAGGGGAAAGGTGGCTTATGCTTCTGCAGTGGTTTGAGAAGTTTCCATGGACATTTTAATACTTTTGTGTGACTCTGGACAGCTGTCATTCTGAGTGAAAAAAAGCAGTTCCAACCTTTTCTGAGCCTTTTTTAAACTGACAGGGGGCAAGTATTTTAAACTCAAAGGATAGATTCCTGGTGGAGTATCATTATGAGGTGCTCACATGCCACCCTGGTGTCTTAGGGATTAGTTTAGTCTATTGTCTCCTTCCCACCACCTACTGTTTCTGTCCACATCCATGTCCCTGTCCCACTGTAACTCTAACCTGCTCTCCTGTGTCCTCATCCCTGTCCTTGTCCGTCATGCAGTGCTAAGGTCTTCCAATCCTACTTGTCTTCACCCTGTCTGAATCTTTGTCTTTGTCTGTGTGCCTGATCCCGTCCCCGTCTACAACCTCACTAACCCAAGCTGTCAGTTCCCACCCAAGCACCCTGCCCCATCTCCGGTCCTCTTACTGTCAGTGGTGCAACCTGGTGTAGGCTTGTTTGAACGGGGCGAGCCCGGTGTGACCGCCCGCCCGCCCTGCCGCAGGTGCCAGCTGCCCCTATGCTTCAAGCACAAGCACTTAAAGCACTTTAGCTGCGCCGCTACTCGTCAATGCATGCAGTTAAAGACAATTGGACCTATCTGGATCTGCATACCTTTCCTCAGAGGTAATGTCAGATGAAACAGTGTGATACTGTATGAAAACAATAATAACCCAGGGAGGAGGGAAAAGAAAAACAGAAAGAACGAAAAAAAAAAACGAAGCTACACCAGGACTTCTGACAGCAAACTTAGCAAACACCCCTCAGAAATTTTCCATTCAATGCAAATATTTTCTTTTTTGTTGTTGTTGTTTTTGTTTCTTTGAAAAATGCTTGTATGATCGTATGCCAACAAATCTCCACAAGGTGGACACAGCACCAAATATGCATTCACACAAGTGGTAGGGGGTCTGAGGGAGGAGGCGGGGTCCTCCCCGAGGAGCTTCCTGTCCGATGCTCTCCCACATCCTGTGTAAAGACTTGAAAAGTGGAGAGAGTGCCGACAAAGAATGCTTGCCCAGTAGCTTGGTAGCATGAAATCGGCTGTACACTTCCTTTAATAGAGAGCAGCAACTTACAACCAACCTGTTGGTGCTATATCCCATCTATTCAAAGACTTGATGTACGGGGAGGAACATACATACAAATATGTTTAAGCTATTCCCTCCCTATTATTTGTAAGTGTGTCTTTTTATATATTATTATTATTATTATTATTATTATTATTATTATTATTATTATTATTATTTCCTGGCCAGCTATGTGTCTGACTAGACATCATGTACAGTACTTAAAACTAAAAATTATTTATCTAAGAAAGAATTATAAGCTGATCCAAACTAGGTTTTCTTATGAACAGTTCAGTGACTCACCGATTGCACAGCAAAGTCTATTTGATTCAGTGTATTTTGGGGAATATAATCACTAATGAATGTTTTATTTTTTAATGAACCTTTTCCTTCTGTTGCACAGCAGGGTCATTTGTAAGCTCTGTGCCCAGCAGGCGAGTTTCAGCCTTGGGCCAAAAGATCTGTGTCAGTCAGGCACTCAGGTCTCTGGTCATCTTAGTTTACTGCTTCTTAATGCCAGTGAACCTCTCACCTCTCAGTAAGTCACTTCTCTCCATGCACACCCAGCCATCCCGCCTCAGTCTGCAGAGCCAGGGTCACACTTCTGTAATGTCACTTTTTACTTTTTATCATTCTTTTTCCCTGCTGGTCACGTTAAGAATCTCTCTGTTCACGGGTAAATGTCTTTTGTTTTTCTTTTCAAGTTTATCCTTCAAAGAGTTTTTTTTTCTTGATTCAAGCTCTTCATGATATAAACTAGAAATCACACAGCTATTATTTTCTCTGAGAAAGGAAATGATTTTGATTCAAAATATTATTTGTATTTAATGTCTGTTTTTTTAAATAAAAAGTGAACACATTTTAAGATACTGTCCCAGATGTTTGTTTTTGTCTCTCCCATGACTTTTAAATCACTGTGAAGGAACAGGCTTGTGTTGTCATCAGCAGCTAATAGGCCCGATCATCTGGGCTTCATTTGTGCAGCACAATCAGGACACAAATTTGCTCCTGCTGAAGTCCTTGAATGCAATCAGGCTCCCCTCAGTCTTGGAATGTGTCAATAAGGATAAAGCAAAGGTTCAATTTGTAAAGAATAAAAATAAATCTGGTGGTGCCAGGCAGGCTGGCAGTGGGCATGAGAGGTTGAGGCGAATTCCTGTGCCCGACCAAGGCAAACAGAGAGCGGGTCAAAAGGCAGCGCGGAGCTGCATGTCCCCACGAGCCGCCTAAAGTTAGACAAGGACCTCCACTTTAGATCACCTTGATAACACTGCACACAAACACACCCAATATAGAAAGACGTGGTGCAGGAGTTGCATCTACACACAGGCTTTCATAATCACGTCCAGATGAAGCTGTTATGATTCTTGTGTTTTGCCACCTATGGATGTTTGTGCACAAAGTAAACCTGCTTGAGGTGAAAGGGAGGCCAGGACCACATAGCTGAGATTAATGTTTTTATTAAATATATCACCTTTTTTTCTTCTTACATTACATCTCAATTACAAAAGTATACATACACACATGTGAGCAGTTGGTCACTTTGGAATAGACTCACATAAACAATAATTCTCCCACCAACAGCAGCACGTAGATAGAGCAGAGGCGTTGCACGTCATGGTTCACTGTGGGACTCGCTCTTTGTGGTCATGTGTTCTTGGTCAGAGAGAACAGCAACATGTAAAGTAAAATAGCAAGTCTTTTTTTGACAGATACATCAACACATGTGACAGTAGACACATAAATATTGGAGGTAGGTAAATGTAGAAATACCCGTCTGAGAGGCGCCTGTTATCTGTAACCCCATGGAACCATGGGAAATGTTTTCTGAGTACTGTGTAAGGATTCCCAACTGAGAGTTGTGCATTCACTGACAAAAGCTGATCATGTGTCACATCAGGAAAAAAAGGACAGTAACAAAAAAAGACATAAGAATGGCAACAATATGAAAAAGGAATCATAAAAACAACATTTAGAAATACTTGTAAATGACATTTGGTCACTCAGTGCTTTTGTTCTTGCTTGGTTTGTCACAAACCAAACCTCCAGACAACTCCTTTAAGGGTAGAGCGAGCTCAACTCAGCAGTGGAGTTACTCAGGGCCAAGATACATATGTACACTTTATACATCCATAAAAAATAATAATATAATAACAATAAGGCAAAAAATTATATAAATACTTAAAAAATAATTACAAATAACAAATAAAATGAAATAAACTTGAAATAAATAAGGCTGAAGAGTAGAAGTAAATGCATCAATATTAAAATTGTTTCAGAAAAACAAAAATAGATATTTTTCTCTTTGGGACGGGTGTTTTGAAGAGGAGGGAGGGAGGGGTGTGGGGTGGTTGGGCTCCAGAGGCCCCGCAATGACAGTGTACCTGAATAAAACACCACCATGGACAAGATCAATAAATAAACAGCTATCAAAAAGGAAAAAAAATCAGTGGCTTGCTTCTTCTTTTTGTGAGATCTGCATCAGTGGTTGATCTCTTTAAGGGCACTCGGCATCTGCAGGCAAGTCGGTCGAACCTAAAATCTTCTTGCCGTTCCAGGGGCTCACACACCAGCATCGACCCCTCTGTCCGTCTAGACAAGATTCACACTGCAGGGAGAACAGATAAAGTTTTTTTTATTATTATGAAACTGCTTTTATTTTCATTCCATATGTCATGCACACATGTACGGTCATGCAGCACTGACTGTGTGACATCACACACCAATGAAACACTGCAGAACAAATCCCTGCCTGCAACATACATTTGACCTCATCTTGGCACACACATTCACACAACTTGGTGAGAGTCTTTCATGAATCCTACACACACTCAGGGCACATTTTGCTGAAGATACCAACCTGTTTGGGTTTATAAAGCCCGTGTTTGTCACAGTTGGGGAGGTAGAATCTAGTTAATTTGTCTCCTAATTTCTGCTGGGATTTGGCAATCTTGTCCAAGGCTCTCTGCAGCTCCACGTGACAGGGCCCCTGTGGAGAGGAAACAGGTGAGAGAAGGGTTAACTGAGCTCTGTGCTTGCACGGTGCCAACACACAGAACTAATAATCAACATTGCTTTTTATCAGCAAGCACGTGGGCTGACATCAAAACTTGTAATAACAAGCATCCCCATTCTCTCTCTCTCTCTCTCGCTCTCTCTCTCTCTCTCTCTCTCTCTACATCCTCTCGTCAAACAGCACACGAGCTCTCCCTTGTGGTGCATGTGTCCTCTCCCCCTAAACCTCCCCAAAAACTTTTACTAACATATCACACGGGGGATTTCACAGAATTCCCACATTGATGCCAGTACAGCGTTTGAGTCTCACCTGTTCCACCAGTTTCTTGCGGATGGCGACGAGTTTGGCTTTCATGCTCTCCTGAGCGTCGGCTGCAGCCCTTGTCGGGTCGTAGGGCTTACTGTGGCCGGCGAGGTAGTGGCTGGAGCCGAGGTCCGAGACGATGGCTGTGTTCTCCATCTCAGCCTCTGGCTCTCCCTGATCTGGAGTAAGAAAATGAATGAACGTGAAGCGGGACTGACTGAATGTAACTGTCTTTAGATCTGTCATGTGTTTGGAGGATTTTAAGAATGAGGATTTGCTGAATGTGGTGGAGCACATGTATAAATGTGGAGGTGATGGGCCTACCTTGTGTCTGGGGCTCGGGGGTCGGCTCGGGCGCAGTGCTCGCCGTGCACACGGCTTGTCCCCGGGTGAGGGAGTGCAGCGGTCGGGGGTCGCCGGGTCTCGGGGTGCACCTCAGTCCGGAGCCACACGGCGCCGTGTAGATCCCGCACAGCTCATCAGCCTTCAGGGCGCAGGCGAGGCAGCATCCACAGCCGGGTTCCCGCAACACCTCGGCGCATCCGGGCGCCACCGCTGGACACTGGCTCAGCTTCTCCGGAGAACACTGGGCGCATCGGATCGGCTCTGGTCCCACCACCGGAGACCCCAGCGTCCCTGTGGCCAGCACGGAGCACACCGCTGCGACCACGACGTGCTTCAAATATAATCCACCCATGGCCAACATAGTGAGCTGGATACTAAATACAGGCTATAAAATGTAGAGCAAGGTAGAGAGGATTATGAAAGGCAGAAGCCGGATTCCCACGGTTCTTGCTCAGTTGTGTCTTTCGTTTGATTTTGGGAAAATGTCTAACTGTGCGCTGCGCGCAGCCGTATTTATAGCCGGGTGCTCTGTGAGTGTTTGACGCATCGGCGTTATGAATGATTTCTGAAAAGAAGGTGTGATGATACGATAGGCTCTGATTGGCTCGCCTATGTCCGGTCAGGCAGCTCATTTCAATACAACAAGCACGTCAATATTTATTTTGGAATAGGCGGTCCCTGCACGTATCGCCGATGAGTGACGACACTAGTGTTTGATGTTGCAAACAAGGACCCCCCTCTTCTCACCCGGGTGCTACACTAAACTACTTTGCCCCACACTGCCAGCTACAGTAACAGCAGAGGCAGCGACTCTCTCACTGCTTGCCTCCATGAGTTGAGATGAGAATAAGTCCACACAGCATCACTGGAGCTGATTTAATCGATTTCAGAGGTGAACCGGCTCCTTCATTGTTTTCTGTGCTGACACAAATGAGCTTCCCTCTTTAGGAACAACGTTGTCTATTCATGACGGTTTTCTCCATTCATTGTCCTTCCCGGACTCCTTACACAACTTTCTGGAAAACTAATAATGAGCGCAAATTACGCACGCCCACGCAGAGAGCGTGGGCCCGCTGAGAGCGAACCAGCGGCCCCCAGTTTGACTTGAGGAAGCATCCGTACTTTGCAGAGGGATCATAAAAACAAACTTTCAGAAATAGCTGCGCAAATGAGGTTCACCGTTTACGCCACCGAGTGAAGGGCTCGGGGCTCTCTCTGTGGGATGTGATCCCCCTCTGTCCCTCGCGCGCGCGCACTGAAGCCGGCTTTGGGCTCAGTCCAGGAGATGTCCCGTTGTAATTACTTGTTTCCTGGGTTAATTATAGAACAGAGCTTTGAATGGGGGCTGAGCTGACATGAGCACAGACACGTCCCTCTGCCTCGCCACTCTCCGGGGGCTTTGATGGTCCCACGCAGGACAACATGCAACATGCACGTTTTCGCGGCTTGCTGCAAAGCATTTGGCGTCCTGTCACTGCTGACCCCAGGCGGGTATGTGACAATGTTCTCTTCATTTGCAAAAGGACTCAAAAAAGACTCTGTGAACTCTTATCTCAGCGCATTCCACTTTTCTCATTTCCATCCCTCCACTTATCTCCACTTACATTTTAAACAATGACCTCGACTATTTCTGATGCAATGGGCCGCAGTGTGATCGGCTCCATGCAATATCGTTATAGTATTGCATCATCTGTCAACTAGTGTTAACAGTCACTCTCACGTGATGCTCAGATTTGTATTCCTCAAAGCCCCGAGCTAAATAAAGCTTATAGTGTAATCTGATGTGGCGTGAGAGCATTCCCCCAATGCCCCTCAAGGCATGCTGGCATCTCCATATGTGTGTTAAGGTGTATGCAGTCTAGTTACACAACAATAGTGCAGGTTGTGCAGTTACTAAAAGTGGTATAGAGTAAATAAGTATATTTATTTGAGTATAGGTACTTGCTTAACTTGAGAATTCTCATTTTCAACCATTTTCGAGGCCTTCTTCTATTCCACTATAACTCAGAGGGAAAGAGAGGCCGAACCTTTCACATTCATCTTAGTTACTTTGTAGATTCTGATTTTCATTTAAAAGACCTGATCGCTTAATAAAATATGATACATTACTACTGACTTGATATGTCTTATAAGGTGATTAAAATAACCTCCACCCCAAAGACAACAGCAAAAGGGGGCTTTAGGATGCGGAAGGCGTGCTCATTTTTGCAAGTCTTGGGCTACATTGCATAAAGATGTTATTTTATGGAGTCTATCTTTGGGGTATTTCTCATTCAATGTTTTAATGTGATCTCAGATTGTTAAGGTTCATTCTTCCATGTCCAACATTTGTTCTATCCTTAATAGCCTTGATTTAGTTTTGATGGATTTAACTGTTTGCATGTCACCTGATTTGATCTGTCCTCATAAATTAATACCCAAAATGGGTGTTTTTACAGTTTCAGAGGTTCTTTCATGTACTTTAGGTTTTTTTCAACCTCCTCCCAAAAAGGTATCGATATTGGACATGTAAAGAAAGTGTGTGTACTTGTTCCCCACATCCTCTCCAGCAGCTAATCCCTGTTCAGAGGTAACACTTCTCATATAGGGTGTAATGAAACTTTCCAAGCTAATTCCCTCCAGTATTTTGATTCTGAAGTCTTAAAGTTTCCACTTATGGAGTCTTTCCATGCTTCTGCTGATATGTTTATTTCTAATTCTGTTTCTCTTTTACTTTGTTATCTAAGATGGTGAGCTTTTGCAATATTTTATAAATATTTGAAAGATTTTCTTTGGCTTTAATTCCATTTTGAATCATGAATTTTACTAGAAATATACAGTACAGGCCAAAAGTTTGGACACACCTTCTCATTCAAGAGAATGCCAAGAGTGTGCAAAGCAGTAATCAGAGCAAAGGGTGGCTATTTTGAAGAAACTAGAATATAAAACATGTTTTCAGTTATTTCACCTTTTTTTGTTAAGTACATAACTCCACATGTGTTCATTCATAGTTTTGATGCCTTCAGTGAGAATCTACAATGTAAATAGTCATGAAAATAAAGAAAACGCATTGAATGAGAAGGTGTGTCCAAACTTTTGGCCTGTACTGTATATCTGTCTCCAAATTTTTTATCGTATCTTACTGTGGTAACTTTCAACCATTGAACTCTGTAAGGGGCTAGTCTGTATAATGAGTACTTTCTTTTTATTTTTTAGTAAATGACTGTTATCAAGTAAAAGTGAAGTAGAAATGCTTAAGTAAGGTAAAAGGTCCTTACATTTTTACATTTTTATTTTGTGCATAATTTTACTCACATTTCCCCAAAACTTAATCTGGTGTATTCTCCACTGAAATGTAGAATGAAGCTGTTTGGGTGTGAACAAAGTTTTTCTGCATGGCACAAGTTTGTAATGTCTGTAATGACAGTTGAGTTGAAGGGTTTTATTTAGTCCAGTCTATAAATAATTCATGTGATGGATGCACATATGCAGTCAAGACAGCATGTCCCTACAGGATGTCCCAGTGTTTGTTTTTTCTCACTCTCACTGAACAGGAAGTCCTTAAGTGCATAACTGAACAGGCGTAAGAGGAGTAGGAGGAGTAAGAGGTACTTGTATTTCAATTAAATACTATTTAATTTAATGACTAACACTCTGACAGTATCCCAGATCTTTTACTTACAAGTAAAAGTAGCAAAAACACAGTGTAATAACTAATAGCTCGCTGTCAGATTAATACAAAGTATATTTTTTTCCTCCTAAATATTGTCAAGTAGAAGCAAGTAACCATAAAATGGGAATACTTAATTTAAGTACAAGCACCTTTAAATTTTCATTGTTACTTTACACCACTGTGCTCTGTAGCGTCCAAGTCTGCATCCTTTTATGTATAAAACTTTGAAAGCATGAGTTTTATCTTCAAAGGAGTATTTTTACATTGTGATGCAGCTACTTTTCTTAAAGGGACAGTTCACCCAGTTCACAAAATCAAAAATACATATTTTCCTCTAATCTGTTGTGCTATTTATCAGTCTAGATTATTTTGCTGTGAGCTGCTGAGTGTTGGAAATAACAGTGGCCTTCTCTCTAATATAATGGAACTAGATGGCGCTAAAAAAAGCACCCAAAAAACAGACAAACTCAACAGCAATGTCTCTCTCCAGAAACCATGGCCCGGTTACTCAAGATAATCCACAGGCCTTGTTGTGAGCAGTTTCATGCAAGAACTATTTTCTTTCGACCAAACTGCACCCACCAACAGCATTACCGTGCAGGAAGGAAGTGTACATCTACAGCTAGCTCACCTAGCACCACTGAGCTAGCTAGCATTACAGCTCAGCCGAGGAGGATGCTATTTATGTTTACATTTTCCGATGTCATGAGCACGAGCCTCTTGTGTGTGAGTAGAGGCATGCCTCCCTCTGCACAGTGATACAGTTGGTGGGTGTAGTTTAAAAGAAAGGAAATAGTTCCTACATGAAACTGCTCACAACAAGGTCTGTGGATTATCTTGAGTAACTGTGTCATGATTTCTGGAAAGAGACATTACAGTACTGTGTGGTTTTTCAAATGTATTTCTTGGTGATTTGAGCACCACAAGCTGAGTGCCATCTAGTTCCATTACACTGGAGAGAAGGCAGACATCTCTACGAACGATATCTCCAACACTCAGCAGCTAACACCTAAACATTCTAGACTGATAAACAGCACTACGAGTAAGAGGAAAAATGTGTATTTTTGATTTGGGCATGAACTGTCCCCTTTAAGTAAAGAACCAAAATACTTGTTCTACCCCTAATTTATCTGCTAAAATCATGGACTGTCACTGAAGTGTTAAGTTTAATTTCACAGCTACCAGTGACAGGTTTCCTGATGTATATGTGGTATGACATGCAGTGTATTTGACTCAGTCTGTCCTCAGTTGAACTGTGATTTGAGGATGCACTCTGTGTCCTTGTGAGGAAATGTGGACTCTGTGACCGCTGGGAGCTGAAATGCGGATTTGGCGCTGCATGGCAGGACATTTATTCTCATTTCACCCATATGTTCAGCTTTACTTTTTATAGACCACACTCCTTAACTCTAAAATGAGTTTTTAAAGGCCTTCACTCCTCTGAAAAGCCGGTCTGTCTGTGATATCTTATGATATGGCCTCATATGGCTGACTGGCTGCTTATGTAAAGCACAGCACTGGATCGTCTGTGTGTGTGTAATTAGCAGGTTGATGTAAAGACAGAGAGACATGAGGGATTAAAACATGAAGTACTCTTGGAAAAGCCACATGTGGTAGCTGACAGGTTTTTTTTGTGCTGTCAGATCAGGGCAGCAGAGTGATCAAACAGACCAGAGTTATCTCAGGTCAGGGACAGACCCACTTTTTCAAAAACACACGTACACAGCAGGATCCATTTGAGCCCCAAGACCCTGACAGCAAAACCACAAAGCCCTTGTGTGGCTGCTGCAGGGTCTGTGTTTGGGAGAGTGAAGATAAGGGAGGTGTGGGGGGGGGGTTGTTCCATCTCTTTCAGATGTCACATGATGGAGATCAAACGGTGCTTGGCATTGAACGTCCCAAGACTGGAATGTTTACCTTTGACAAGAACGCTGGGAAAAACAGTCTTGTTGTCTCAGAAGCTGCTCACACCCACACACACACATGCACACACACATACATACACACCCTCCAGGTTCTAGTTATGGTGATTTAAACCTTGCCCTTTGGTGGGCGTCGAAAGAGGGGTATCTACGACAGATGAGCTCAGAAAAACAGAGTTGTTTGAAATCACACCCACAGAAAGAATGCACACCTGTGTGAGTACTACGCAGGCCGACACCCAGAGGCAATCTGAGGTTAACGTATACATATGTACCTCCGTCAC